GGAGGTGACCCACATGACACAGCAAACCTCTCCTGTCTCCCCTCAGCAGTGTATTTCAGTACATCTGCCTGTTCTGCTCCCTACTCTGTCGCTGGTGAGTCTTCTCACCCCCTCACCTCTGGCCTGTACCCCAGCTCTTGTATGCAACAATAAATCTTTAAAAAATACCTGTCATTTGAAATGACATGAATGGACCTTGGAACATATGCTAAATTTAAAAAAGACAAGTATCACATGATTTCACTCATGTGTGGAAGGTAAAGAAACAAAGCAAGGAAGTAAACTAAACAAAACAGACTCAGAGAACAGGCTGGTGGTTACCAGACAGGAAAGTCTGGTGGGGGGTGAACTGAGGGCTGTCAGTATGGTGGTGCATGGCAGTGACAGAATGTTCTACACCTGAAACACGTAATTTTATCAACCATTGTTACTTCCATAAAAATGAACTTTAAATGTTAATTTTTTTCAAATATCATTGTTAAAACAGAAAAAGTTTTACGCTAAGTTTTCAAATTTCTCTCTGTCTTCAGTAAAAAGAAAAGTTGTTTCCAGTCACCTTGGAAAATATGAAATTCAGTGTGTGCCAGGCAGTTGTCTAGCCTCCTGGCTTCTATGGTAAGTGTCTGGTCCTCCAGGGTCACAGGGCAAACCACAGGGAGGATCCTTTCTGCTCTAACATACTACCTGTGTCCATGCTAACATTTTCTTTTTTTTTTTTTCAAGTTTTATTTATTTATGCATACAAGAACTGGGGTACAGGCCAGAGGTGCAGGGGTTGAAAGGATTCACCAGACTGGGTAGCTGAACAGGCAGCTGTACTGAAATACACTGCTGAGGGAAGCAGCTGCGAGACAGGAGAGGTCTGCTGCGCCATGTGGGTAGCTTCCTGGCAGAGGACTGAACTCGTGCTGCAGTGGCTACAATTAGCTGAGACTTAACCCTTTGCACCACCAGGGAGGCTCTTTGCTGATATGAAAAGTACATTGGAGATGGCAGACAGATGAGATGATTTCCATCGGTCTTTGACTAATTAATTTTACCTTCTAATAATAATTACCTCCTCTCACAACAGGAGAAAGGCTTGGTAGAGAGAGAGTTTTCTGCCTTGATAGAAGAAAAGACTGTGGTGTCTTCAATGACCCCAGGTCGGCAGGGGACATGAGGACAGCAGCCTGACAGGCACACTGCTAGAGCCAGAGGAGCAAGCAATATGGCCTATATGCTCTTTTTTTTTTTTTTTTAAGATTTATTTATTTTATTCATACAGAACTGGGGTACAGGCCAGAGATGCGGAGGGTGAGAGGCTTCACCAGATACAGAGTGGGGTACAGAACAGGCAGATCGACGAAGTACACTGCTGAGGGGAGCAGCAGGCGGGTCAGGAGAGGTCTGCCGCACCATGTGGTCTCCTCCAGGGCAGGCGGGAATCGAACTCATGCGGAAGTGGCTTAAGCTTCTCAGTGCTGTGCTTTAACCCGCTGCGCCACCAGGGAGGGCCTATATGCTCTTTTTAATCTTGGTTTTGTGCCTCCGTCATCACACACTCCCTCAAGGGCCTGTGGCAAGGCTTCGGTTGTTTTGCCCAGCTTGGTATATTCTTGGGGTTGAGTCAAGTTCAAAAGGTAATTTTCCCAAAGCATTTAAAGACATTCTGTCAGTCCCAGAAACCCAGGAAATTTAAGGCGACAGGGTTGAGGTACAGGGTTGTTTTTTTTTTTTTAATTTGTTTGTTTTGTTTGTTTGTTTTTAGTCTATCAAAGTTAGGTTCAGCTGTGTTTACCTGACAAGTATCCTCAGAAATGCAAACTAAATTTGTCCCATGGAAAAACAAGATAAGAATTTTGTCCTGTGGAAAAACAAGATGAGAATTCTAAATAACAGAATGACACAAATATGCTTTGATTTCAGGGGTAAAAACCCTGTGACACATGGTGGGAGAGGGCCCCGGTTATGACAGCCCTGAGGACCCAGCAGGACCTGGTTGTGGGAGCTAGTTCAAGGACGGAGGGGGCTGTCCCTTCAGGTCCCGGCTGATGCTCACTTTTGCTCTTTCATCCTGTGTCCATTTTTCTTCATCTCTGATCATTCAGAACCTTTGGATCTAGGGTAAAACTAGAGGGCTCTACTCAGCACCTCGGAGATGAGTGTGGCCAGTGATAAAATGATCTGAGAACATTCAAAGTTGCACAAAGGGGTGATGGAAAATGGGAGGGCGACATCACATTTTTTGGTTATGAGACACACAGCAGACATTCTAAACAGATGAGTCACCCAAACCCAAACAGGAAAAGGAGTGAACTATCAACACTAATGCTCCCTTGTAAGGGAGGTCAGGAAGGTACCGCTGTACCAGGAGAGAATATGGAGTTCGGTGGCATCATCTGGTGCTATTTCCAGAACAATCCTCAGTGTCTGAGCACGTATGGCTTTTGGAGACACCACTGAGATGATCAGCTGAAAACAGGGAATTCTGTAGGCTCCAAAGAGGCGTTTAAAGTTTGAAAAGTAAATGACACAATAAAGCCGTCCTGGAGTACACAGACCAGAGACAAGGCCGGGAGAGGGTGCTGTATACACAGGGACGTTTCCAGAGAGTTACAGCCTAACACCACCATAGGCTCACCTTGCCCTCTCCCGTGTTCTCAGAAAGGAAGGAGCTGCCAGTCCTCACAGGAGCTGCACCAGGTCCCGACTGACGAAACCCAGAGAGTGGAGCCGCTTGTCTCACTGGCACAGGTCCTGCAGATGGAAAACAAACCTTCCCCGCTCTCTTACACTGTCTTCTACTCTTTTCCACACTCGAGCCCCTTACTGGAAGCAGAGGGCTCCCCACAATCCTCATTGGTCCCCAAGGACATGGAGACTTGTCCCCAACCCTTGAGGAGGACTGCCTTTCACCCTGAAGTGTAACTTGCAGGTATTACAAGGGCCCAAAGAACCCCCTTTGTGGGAACCTGCATCTGCCAACACAGGTAACCTGAGCAAAGGAGTCAGGCTCACTCAGTCCTTAAGACATATGACCATGAAATAACAGAGACAAGGCCCGTGCCCATGAGGGATGGGAACTAGCTAAATCCATTGAATGGAAGATGGGATGGCAGGGGCAGGATGGGAAATGAGGGTTCCCAACCACCCAGCATAAAGCTACAGTTGAGTGTGATCTCCTTAGACATGGTAACTGGAATCACAATAGTGCTGCGTGCACTTCAAAATAGTTTAGTGAAGTGTTCTTACCACAGTAAAGTTTAAAAACATAAATAAATGAAGAACAGGGCTCTTGAACTAGGTTGCTGGTCTGAATCCTGAGCCTGGCAGCTTCCTCTTCATGCCCAAGGACAACAGTCACCAGAGAGGAGTAAATGTGTTGTTCTTCCTTCCGCATAATACAGAAGGGCCTGGCACCTATGAACCCCTGAGTAATCGATGTCATTGGCTTTTATTCCTGCTCAGATAGATGTTAGAGATACTAAAAAGGAACATTTAAGGAACATGTACCATTAGCTGGTTTCAATACATGGAAGTTACTGGGATGATTCCCCTGGGCAGTTAAACATGTGCTTGATACCTTGTCACTTGGTTGTACTGATACTTAATCGAGTCTTGAACTATTTAACTTTTCATATTCCTACTGGATTGCAAACAAGTTGAAGGCAAAGTCCAAAACAGGTGTCTTTGTGAGTTCCTCCTTCTGCAGTCTGTAGTCTGGGTTGAACTTATAGTTAGGGCATAGAATGAACAAATTTTAAAAGGAAGAACTTCCAGACCACTTAGGCCAGCTCTGCACTTGTGTGTTTAGCTACACACACACACACACACACACACACACACAGTGAAAATGTGATGAAATACACATGCACCGCTTTCAGAATGAGTAGCATTGTTTACAAAGTGATTAAATTTCCACCTAAAATAGCGATCCTGTCCAATCCTCTGCCTTTTCAAATCGGGAAAAAGTGACTAGACACCTCTGCCACTCAGGCTTTCTAGCACCCCACAGAAGGTGCCACGAGAGATAGGGTTAAGTAGCGTTTAGGAGACATACCTCCATGTTTAAAAATCCATCCCAAGTGCAAGAAACTAACTTCTTTCAGCTTCCTTGACATTTAAGCATGTGGTCCAGTTTTCTCTGACAATGAAATTATTCAATGGATATGTTGTTTTATAAAGGGGGCTTAAATGAGCCAGACTCTTACCCTTACAACTTTCCCAGGAGTCAGGGTTCAGAATCTTCCAGAGAATGATTCCACCGCTAGAGGTGGCATTCTGTATTGGCAACCACACAGAGGTTGCCTGGGATACCCTGTTCACAGGCAGCTGTCACTTTTACAAACTGCTCCCTTAAGAATACAGGATATTGTAGTTTCCTGTTGTACAGTGGCTTAGATAGCTTTTTGTCTTTATAATCTCAGAATATGTCTTCCAATTTTCTAATTATCAATCATGGTATTGTATAAAGTTAGGAAAATTAAGGAAATATTAAAAAAAAAAAACACTTGTCATTCCAAATCCAACAGTAACTTCTGATTAAGATTTTATTGTAAGCCAGGATGTCAAAACATCCCTATTGCCCCCCTGAATAGATGACTGAAACAAAAAACTGAGGTATATATAATGGAATATTACTCAATGATCGAGAAAGAAAATCAAGCCATTTGTGGCAACATGGATGGAAGGAATTATGCTATCCAAAATAAGTCAGGAGGAAAAAGAACAATACCAAGTGACCTCATGTAGGTATGGAATATAGAGAAACCAAACAAAAGGTCAAGAAAAAGTCAAAACTAGCAAGCTGAGCATAAATCTGTGTTCATATAGCACAGGACGGATATAGAGGAGGTCAAAACAGGAGGGAGGAACACAGGGAATATGGTGATGGTTCCTGGGTCATACGGTGCTGGGAGAACTGTGGGGACTACAATGATGTAAGAAAAAAATTGATGTATAAAGATTTTATTGCAGTTGTTTTCCCTTGAACATTACATGGGAGTTTAAAACAAACTTGGTCCAAAAAAAGTTGCACTTTCAAGAACCTAAAATAAATAAATAAAATTTGGAACTAGTTTTCTCCTAATTATTCCTTTAACACACCCCTCTACAATTTAAACAATGAAAATTGTCACCTCTGTAGTTGCTGTTTTTTATATATACATTTTTGTTTACAATTACTTCTTAGCCTAGCTTTCTAGAAATAGGATTACTCTGCCACAAAGTGAAGAGACTTATAAGGTTCTTGACATATACTGATTTGCTCCCTGAAATATTAAAATTTGTGCTTCAATCAGTGAGGTGTATTTCTCTGGACATTCAGTCTTAAAATGTTGTATCATCTTTGCCAATTTGACTAGAGAAGTTATTGTTATTTGTATTTCTTTTAATTTCTTAATGAAGTAGAAAGCTTCATCTCAACCATTTGTAAGTCTAAATGGTGAATTGTTCTTATTCTCTGTGCATCTTAAATGCTTGAAAATTTTTAAATTTGAAACTACTTAAAATTTTAAGTACATGAATATCTTATTGGTGAAAGTGGGCATCCTGTGTCTTGTTCCTGATCTCAGGATGTTTCAGTCTTTCACCACTGAGTATGATTTTAGCCTTTTATTATGTTGTGGAGATTTCTATTCCTACTTTATTGTGAAAGTGTTCAGTCTTATAAAATGTTTTTCATGTGAATTTCAAAAGTCCTTGTTTCCAGGTGACTTATCTTTGTTGCTATTGTGAATCAGCTAGGTGTGGCATTCGGAAGTAACTTTATATGGTCAATTTTAGCATTTCATGTCACCATTTTGGTGAACTAACTCAGTCTCAGTAATCAATTCCTTGTTTTCCATATAGAAGAATCACCTCCAAGTAACAGCTGACACTTGGGCACTTACCATTGTCAGGGACTGTTCTAAGTCATTTAGTCCTGAAGGGAGTACTATTATGGCTCGTACACAGATGAGGTAGTCAAACATGAGTCATGCCCCTGCCTGAAGAGCAAATATGTGAGTCAAAATTCCAAACCAATTCAAGCCTTCTCGCTCCAGTGTTCATTACTCAACCACCAGACTATCTACTGGCTTTGTATTGCTTAGATTAACTCTTCCAGCCCTTGCCTTTATTTATTTCTATTTGAAGAGGAAAGATGGATAAAACTTTCAGACCAATTCTAACTATAGTGATAGCAAACATTCTTCTCTTGTTAATTTTAACTGCAATATCTAATTTTTCATGTCTGAATATGACTATGGTTGAAAAAGGAAAATTGTGTAGTGTATGGATATTAATAATATATATTTCCCTAAAATGAAGAACCAATAATCTATTAGAAAAGGGAAGGGTTGTGAAACTTTATTGATAAGGACTTTAATTCCAAAGGTTTACTCCAATCCTTTTTATAGAACATAAATATCAACATTGTCTTGTTGAGAAAACAGAAATTCTGGCCATAGTACTGAAGTTGATGTAAGAGTAATACTAGCCTCTAATTAAGGCAAGAATCCATATCTGAAGAATTTGACCAATATGATATATATGTATATGTTTGTACATATATATATAATCAGTTCAATAACTTACTTTAAACAAAGAATCAAGAGGGCAGCTCTTGTGGGAGGCTGATCTGCACATTTTATTTAACAAACATAATGAACAATGACTAAAAGAATTGTATATTCCCAGGAGAATTAAGAGTAACTGGATTAGCACCTAGAAAGTACATAGAAAATAAAATGGGTAAGGTTTCTACTAAAATTACCTGGTCCAGGTTTCCAAGAGCAGGTTCTAAGACATTTGATAGTACCTTATTACATTCCACGTGACATTGGTGGCCAACTGATTCCATGAACTGCTGCATGTCTTCATTGCTTTATGACAATAGATGTGTTAACTTGATGGCTTTTATATGTAAATTGAGTAAAGGATGAAAAGTATTATACTCACCCTAGTTTTACTGAAAAATCACTGTACTACAAATCTGCAGTATAAATCTGTAGTATAGGAAGATAACTGGGAAAACAGGCAAATCTTTTCTAACTGCTAGTGTTGTGTGAATTTGTTCAAGAATGTGGTCCTGGGAATTACAATTTCACAAGTATATTGATAATCTGTACGAATTACTGAGAGGAAGGAGTATTTAGGTTATGAAAGGTTCTGTGAAGATTAGAAAAGTTTCCACATTGCTGGTGGCTTTACAGCCTCAGTGAAAGAATACCAGTTAACATTATACTGTGCTTTTAATGCAATATTCTTTGGTTTGCATCATATTAACCACCAGGAGGGTAACTCCCTTGCTTATGAAATAGGTCAGTAGTGGTTCTGAAGTGGGGGTGATTTTGCCCCTAAGAGACATGTGGCAATGTCTGGAGGTGATGTCTTTCACAATCGTGGCAGGGTGGGGTAGTGGTGGTTTCTGATAGTTGCCAGCGGGTACCAAGGGTAGGGGTGCTGCTGAGTAGCCTACAAAGTACAAAGCACCCCTGCCACAATATTCCTCAGGCCCTAAGTGTCAACAGTACTGAGGTTGCAACAATATGAATTTGAGTATCTATACAGCCAAAGTATGCTACAGAGGCAGAAAGACACCCTGCTCTCTATCCCTGAGGGATTCGCATCAGCTCTCACCAACAGTCCTGTTCCTTTCTCTTTTGACCCAGACCTTGGTCTGTTCCTTCCATCAACAAGCTCTCTAAATATTTGCTGAATGAATGAAGGAGAGAGGTAACATGAGGCATGATTCAGAGCTTTCAGTTGACTATAATGAACTGCATCTTTATGTGACCTAATAGTTACTTTGAACCTCAGTGGTGTCACAGTCTGACTAGACAGGATCTCAAAGTTAGCAATAACATTTTGTTAACGATTGAAACAACACTTCTAGATTCATTTTAGCGGGGCAAAACAAATAAAACGGTGTTAATGGCAAACAGTCAATATACTTCATTCCAAACTAAAAAATTAACACATTAAATGCCATGCACAGCAGACACCTTTTTTTTTTACATATTTACAATATTACATATTTACTTATCAATATATCTTCTATCTTTACAATTTATAAAATTATTTCAAACTGTAGAATAGTGGTACCATTGAATTCCCTTAAACATAGACTTTGTAGCATTCACTTGTTTTAATCCTTTAACACGTAATTATTATTGACCCAAACCCAATTAAAGTGAGTGCCACAGAGGAAGCACATGGAAAACCATGGAGAAAAAATAGATTTAGACAAAATCTTCACATATACCTTAAATGAATCTATTTCATTAACTCAAATAAATAGTATTTTATTAATCACTAAACTTCCCTTGCCAGGAAAAACAAACAAAACAGTCCCCACAAACTGTACCTTTAAAAATGCTCTGACATTTATAAGCAATTAAGTTATAGTCTAGATCCCAATCAGTGGGCTGTAGTACGGACTAGCCACAATTCAGGTTCAAATAAATACTATGTATGTAAGTTTTTATCATCCTGCATAAACTTGAGGTTGCAATGGTGGAGGAAGTTTATCGTTTTCAACATTTTCAGAGTCAATAGCTGCTAAAGACTGATTTGGGGGCTTAATTTCAAGTGGGTATTTCTCAACAATGTCTTGAACCTCTTTTGCAATTCCATCAGTCCAATCTATCAGATCTTTTTCAAGTTTTTTGGCTTCACTCATGATTCTTTCCTGTCTCTCATTCAACTGGGACAGGAGATCCAAGTTCTTATACATTTGCTTAACACCTACGCAGGCATCAGGAGACCAATTCTCAGATTCTTGCTTCCTGGGAGAAGTCTGGCCAGACATATAGCGATCAAAATCTTCCTGACTTAAATTCAGTGACTGAGCATCTAATTTCTCAATGAAAGCCACAGCACAGCACTACAAAAGAAGAGAATGTTATTAGTCATAGTCATATGAAATTATATCCTTATTATGAGAATTTTAAATAACGAAGCAAAAGTAGATAAAATAGCTTGATGAACTCCATGTAATTTAACTTCAAAAATTCTAACTCACTGTCAATCATGTTTTTTAATACTCCATTTGAAATAGTAACATTTCTTCCTTAAAAAAAAAAAGGGGGGTCGGCCCTCCCTGGTGGCGCAGCGGGTTAAAGCACAGCACTGAGAATCTAAAGCCGCTTCCACATGAGTTCTATTCCCGCCTGCCCTGGAGGTGACCACATGGCGTGGTAGACCTCTCCTGACCCGCCCGCTGCTCCCCTCAGCAGTGTACTTCGTTGATCTGCCTGTTCTGCTCCCCACTCTGTCTCTGGTGAACTCTCTCACCCTCCGCATCTCTGGCCTGTACCCCAGTTCTGTATGAATAAATAAATAAATCTTTAAAAAAAAAAAAAAGGGGGGTCTCCTTGGTGGCACAGGGGTTAAAGTCTCAGTGCTATCAAGCTGTTACCAGCCACTTGCAAGAATTCAATCCCTGGCCAGGGAGCTGACCCACATGGCATAGCAGACCTCTCCTATCTCACCCGCTCCCTTCAGCAGTGAATCTGCCTGCCTATTCTGCTCCCCACTCTGTCTCTGGTGAATCCTCTTACTCCTGCACTTCTGGTCTGTACTTCAGTTCTTGTATGCATAAAAATAAATAAATCTTAGGGAAAAAAAAAGGTTCTGTATAGAGAAAGAACACCTCACTGAATGGAAGAAAAGATTTATACATCATATATATGACAAGGAGCTGATATGCAAGATCTAAAAAGAACCCACACAACCCAATAAAAATAAAATAACCGAAATTAAAAAAAAAAGAAAGAAGGCAGAAAAGCTATACAGACACTTGCAGATGGCTAACAGGTATATGAAAAAAATGCTCATTATCATTTGTCAAATGCAAATCAAAACTACACTAAGCCAGCAGCACCTCATGCATGACCAGAAACGACAAATGTTGGCAAGGAAGTGGGGGGAAGGGGCGGGGGGGAGGAGGAGCCCTTGTAAAAGTATAGATGGGAATTTAGACTGATCCAATCCCTATGTACAGAGATTTCTCAAAATATTAAAAATAGATCTACCATATGATCCAGCAATTCCACTTCTACCTACCTGAAGGATACAAAAGCACAAACTGGAAGGCATATATGTATTCCCAGTTCATTGCAGCACTACTTACAAGTGCCAAGCTATGAACCAACCTAAGTACCCAAATAGGAAGATGTGTTCCATAGACACCATGGGATACCACTCAGCTATCAAAAAACACTCTTGCCTTTTGTTATAACATAGATGGAACTGGAGGCGATTGTGCTAAGCAAAAAAAAGCCAGAAGGAGAAAAACAAATACTGGATGGTGTCACAAATATGTAGGATACAGAGAAACAAAACAAAGGTCAGACAAAACCAAATCAATAACCATCCCAAAAAATCTGACTGTAGAACTAAGAGCAGCAGCGAGGGCACAATGGACTGGGTGGAGGGCTCTTCCTGCTGTGGTGTCTGCTGTGCTCCTACACCTCTAAATCATATACGAAGTTGTAAACCAATGTTACCTCAATAGGAAAAAAAAAAAGTCCACAAAATGCAGCAGCATTTCTAAGTCTCTCTGAAACAGCCTAGGTAAAAGAAACTGCAAGCCAGTACCCACTCTTTTTGGTGGGGGCCTGTACCACCTCCATATGTTGGCAACTATGGTGACAGTAAGCTAAGGGTGATGGCATAACAGGGGATGATCTGGGGCTTGGGAGACCTGAAGCTTACATGCTTTTGGGAACCCTTTAAGGGATAAGAAAAATAGTAAGTTCAAAATTATGTACAAAAGTGAATATAGAGTTAGGTTGTAAAAACAACAAATTTCTGGAGCCCTGGATATCCAACTGTGGGTTCTAATATCTTTTTAGGCAATTTTCCAGAAATACTTCCTCCTGTAGCCCAATTTCCTCTCCCTCCCTAGTAGCCTGTACTACTTTCAGCACAGGAAACATAGCACAAGTGGTGTCCTGAGGCTCAAAGTCATTAACTGACAGTAAATCTAGGCCAAAGCAAACAAGGAGTTTAATGGTTGGTAAAAGGAAGGATTTGACCCTATAACTTAGCTAAACATTAATTTAATACTTTCTTCCTTAGACTCTAACAAACAATTGAAAATCATCACACAGCCTCTAACATTGATTTTTTTCCCCTTAAAATATTTCAATATTTAGTTCTAAGAGATAACATATAAAGAAAACAAAATATAAATCTTAAGCCTTTAAATAAAGGAATCAGAGATTAAGATTTGACTTATTCATGGGTGAAATACTGAGCAATGGCTCTCATAACCAGGGTCCTCAGGAGTGATGGCAAACAAAAGCCAGTGGTGATGGCTCCTCAGTGTGGCTGTCATGTTTCTCGTAAGAGTACCAGAGTCTCATAAGAGTACCAGAAGCTAGGGTCACCTGTGCACTGTGACAGCCAGCGAGCATTCACAGCTGTGCTGACTCCTCAACTCAGGGGCATTAACAAGTCACAGGCCTGTCAGGTCTCTAAGTGATATGTCATACCCTTAAATAACTTGATGGTTCTTTCCTAACACCAAAACCTCAAATACATACCAGATTGGTGAAATAGTAACCATCCTCTCCAGTCATCAATCGGCTTGGATTGCAGAAGCGGGTAATATACTGGATATTGGACTGAAGGCGTGGGGGGTTGCCCTTCAAAACAATGTAGATGAGTGTGGGTAAGAAATCGTCTGCTGATGCTGGCTCATTCTTGGTGATTTTGATGGCATTGAAGATGTGCTTGCTGCACTTAGTGATACAGGCCAACTTATCTCGAGGTACACGCTTAGAATCCATTTCAATGATATCTAAAAAGAAGGAAAGATACTTTCAATGAGAAAATACGTAAAAAAGACATCAGGATAATAATTTTTTATCTATGAAGTTAGAGGTACCCTATGCCGTCGAGAGATGGCACAAATGGTAAATACTGGCTCATACTTACAGAACACACGACAGACAGCAGGAGTCTAAGTTTCAGATTTAGGCTGCATGTTGGTGAACACCAAAAAGTTCTTTCTGTTCTCAGCTCTCATTCTTGAGGTCAGCTCCTTAGGAAAGCCCCCAGGAAACAATTGTAGAAGACAAGTATGTGGGGAACTGAAATACTGGACAGTCCAGAGGGCTGACTTTGAATTTACTAATGCTTTATTTTCCTGGCTATGTGTCTATCATGTGAATTATATAATTTTGGCTGACTTTATGGTTTGTTTTTTTTAATCCTTTAATTCTGGGCTCCAGTTATTATTACTATGTCTGAATTTTTCTTTCTCTAAGTAGAACTTATTACAAAAAAGATTTTGGAGAAAGATTTTTAAATGATTTTTACTAATTTCACATGCTCTCTTTAAATTTTCTAACTTTTACTGTTGATTTTTATTCTCAAACTTTTAACCCGTCTCGTTCATCTTTTTTTTTTTTAATTAAATGAAATTACTTTCTATCTGGGTACATATGTGACTGACTACTACATTGCCAATGTGGACATCCCGGGGCAGAAAAAAAAAGGGAAGAAAAGGAAAAGGAATGAGAATAAAGGCAAGGAGAGGACCCAAAGAGATTTTTCCCAGTCTTCATCCTGTAGCAACTCCCCCTGCCTTACTCCTAACATCCCTGGCCTAGAAGAAATAACTGCTCTTTTCTTGAAACAGCTGTGGACCCTTCACCCCAATGTGCATTTCCATCATCTGTATGGCTTTAAAGTCTAAATTAGGAGCTTGGGAAGGAAAAGTGAAGAAAACAGGAAATTCACTGCTATATCAGTTCTTCTCCTAATGATTTCCTTCCTCAATCTGCCTGTTATTACTTAGTTTTCAGAGTCCTCAAATACAGTTTTGTGTCTTTTGTCCAGTGCTTTTTTACTCATAATCAGTCGCAAGATTAGGGTTGAGTGTAGTTTATCTCAGCAGATATCTAGACTTACCATCAGCAGGGTCTTCTAAAACACAATAAGCTATAACTTTCGGCTTTGGTTTCTCAATCTCAGCACTACTGACATTCTGGGCTGGATCCTGTTTTGTGTAGGAGACTGTTCTATGCACTACAGGATATTTAGCAGCATCTCTGGCCTCTACCACTAAATGCCAATTGTACCCCCATATGAGTGACATAAAAAAATGCCCCTAGATGTCGACAAATGTCTCTGGCCAGGGTAAGGGACAGAGGGGAGGAAGGGGATAAAACGAGCACTTGGCTGAGAACCCCTGCTCCCCACAGAGGTAGCTCCCAAAGCTGAACAGGAATTGTGGAGACAAATGAAAATGGACAATGTTTACCACTGACCACATAGGTCTTCACACCCTCTTTATACCCAAACTCTTCAAGATAAGAGAAACTGATAATGGGATTCTCTGATCCTGTATTTTCTCACGGAAGATACATGCTCATCAAAGATTCCTAAAATCTAACTAAACTTCAAGGCAGGGGTCTTGATTATCCCCTCCCATTTTAATGCAGTTTCTTTCAGTAAAATAGACCCCACATTTGTCCCTTCTCAGGCCAGAAAACAAGTCCCTGACCTAGAAGAACCTGACCTACCTGACATTGCAGAGTTTATCTGACAGCATCTCCCAGCTAGTCCCACTGTTCACCAAACTCAGACACATTTCACACACCACCATCTATCGCCCGCCCTACTCTCACACTGATGGGTCAACTTAACACTCAGGATCAATGGATGCCCCAGTGAATGTGTCCTACATAGCTGAGAGACCAGAAAACCTGGAGCCCCCTTGATTACCAATAACTGGTCATCCTGGAAGGATGAAAGTGGTTTCTCAGATTCAAGGGTGGTGGCTTCTACATTTAGTAGCTTATTCCTAAATAAGACTTTTCCCCTTGAATGTGACTAAAGGTAAATCTTCGGTTTTAGCATGTTTCAAGGGTTTTGAAGATTGTTTGCAGTAATACTATTTCAAAAATATTTACTTTTTTAATTTATAGTCAAGATGTTAAGACTTTTTCTTCCTCTGGCAATCAGAGGCCACTTCTCTCTGTGACTACAGGGGCCCCCTACCTCTTTGGCAGTAATTTGTTTTAACTCCATCCTGCATATACGAGGTCTGGCCTGTATTAATCCCTATGGCAGTCTCCTCAAGCATACTTTCTTCTTTCAGCTTAACAACTTAATTAACATCTTAATTCATTGCATGTCTCCTACAACAGAAACATCATTTTGAAAGTCCCAGATAATTTCCTTTGAACCAAGATGAAATGGTTTGCTTCTTTTCTGATGAATGTTTTTCTCTAGAAAATAGAAAGTGCCTCATTTATTTATAAACAAAACTGACAGTGAAGACTAGCACCACATGAGATATTTAAGACCATTGCTACAGATTGTCCTCTTTGATTATCCTATACTCAGGCTGACACTTTCAGATTAGGAAGAAAATGATCCTGTTAACTTTGGTTCAGAAGAATGTGCACAGAGTATGCCTACTCTTGGATGTGCACAGAATGTGCCTACTCTTGGATTGGAAAATGTGAGGGTTAAGATGGGAAAGAATAAGAAGGCTTCTACTGCTGTGGCTGAAATTCTACTGTTAAATGATCTCTTGAAACTCAATTTCAGAGACACTGAGGTGTTAAGTTTCACTTCTCAAATTCTATTAACAAACTGTTAATGTTTTAAAATCCTCTTAGTTCTATTTTTAAGTAAACAATAGTCTGGCACAGTAGTTTCTAGCTTTACAAGGTCTTTCCTGTGGCTTTCCAGCTGAATTATCAACATAAATTCCTATGAAATCTTATTTTTCTTTACAGATTTATTTATTTGTGCATACAGAACTGAGGTACAGTCCAGAGACTCAGGGGCGGCGAGAGGTTTCACCATAGATAGAGTGGGGAGCAGAAAAAGCAGATTGACGAAGTACACTGCTGAGGGGAGCAGTGGGCGGGTCAAGAGAGGTCTGCCACGCCATGTGGTCACCTCCGGGGCAGGCGGGAATCAAACTCATGCGGAAGTGGCTTTAGTTTCTCAGTGCTGCGCTTTAACCCGCTGTGCAGCACCAGGGAGGGCCACCCTATGAAATCTTTGAAATACGTACCAGTTGGTCTTGAACTTTTTGTAAGAAACTTTCGGAAAAAAGCAAGACCACATACAGGCTTTTGAGATAGTCTCACTATCCATTTCTTATAATGTGTGTGTACCTGAGATAAAGACTAGGGGGTAGAAGTAGGCCTCAGCCCAAAGGAGTCAATTCATGAGACCTATGCAGAAAAGCTTTGAACAACAAAGATGACACTATTTAGCTAGACCAGTAAGACTCTTTCCAGAGCTCACAGAAGGATTTGCAGAGAAAAGTTCATTTAATAACAGGAGTTAAAAGCCATCCCTGGTGGTGCAACAGGTTAAAACACAGCACTGTGGGCCCTCCCTGGTGGCACAGCGGGTTAAAGCACAGCACTGAGAAGCTAAAGCCACTTCAGCATGAGTTCCATCCCCGCCTGCCCCGGAGGTGACCACATGGCGCAGCAGACCTCTCCTGACCCGCCCGCTGCTCCCCTCAGCAGTGTACTTCATCGATCTGCCTGTTCTGCTCCCCACTCTGTCTCTGGTGAAGCCTCTCACCGCCCCTGAGCCTCTGGCCTGTACCCCAGTTCTGTATGCACAAATAAATAAATCTTTTTAAAAAAAATTAAAAAAACAAAAACAAAAAAACCCACAGCACTGTGAAGCTATCAGCAGCTGCTTCAGCACGTCTGATCCCTGCCCAGAGAAGTGACCTATGTGGCACGGCATACCTCTCCTGTATCACCCGCTGCTCCCCTCAGCAGTGTACTCCCTTAGTCAGCCTGCTCTGCTCCCCACTCTGACTCTGGTGAATTCTCTTACCATCTCCCACACCTCTGGTGTGTACCTCAATTCTGTATGCACAAATAAATAAATCTTAAAAAAAGAAAATCAGGAGTTAAAACATACAAAGAGAAGCAGAACCTGAGAAAGTGGAAGAATCATGTAAACATCAGATAACCCAATCCAGAGGGGGGCCTTGGAGCTACTTGTGAGAGTCCTGCCTCCCGTCCAACACCAAGAATATTAAGCAAACTCCTATTTTTTGCTGGAACCTGAGGGAGCCTGCTTAATTGTGGGCCTCCAAAAGTGCTAACCTCATTCCTTCCCAGCAGAACTTCACTGACAATCTTTCAAGAAGCAGGTCTTTCCAACTCTTTTTAATTAAGGAGAAGCTGACCAAGGTCAAATGTCTTCTCCATCACGAGTTTTTTTGTTTTATTTTGTTTTTTAATGTTTGTGTTGTATTTCTACTGAATTATTCTTATGAACAGGAAACAGAAAACCTTGATAGGTCTGGACCTATCAGAATAGAAGAACTGCATCAAGTCAAAACATTTTACTTCCTGATCAAATGAGAGTAATAATTCAAAGCATGTCTCTGATACACAACCAATTAAGAGATGCATTATTATGCTGCCTCACCAATTCCTTTCCTGCTCCAAGATTATTGTGAATATATAAAGTAACTGAGTTTTAAGAAATTTACCCTATCTTTGTCTTTGTTTTAGTTCAGTATCCAAGAAATAAGAAACCTTGGTCATCAAAAAGTGAAGGGGAAAAGTAATTTATGTGCTAATCTAAATGTTCAAATTCATAAAATTAAAACTCTTACAAAACACGTTTGCTACAATCCAATATATCTTTGGCAGTACACATTTTAGAAATACTTTAGATTCTTTTTGATCAATGAACTAAGTATGGATTTATACAGCAAAATACTAACTTCCAAGGAAAAATCCTCAAATATAAAAAGCTCTTGGCTTCACTTACCTGTAATTGCTTTCACCACCATATCAGACACTTCTGGAATTTCTTCATTAACAGGGACACAAAGCATCTGAGGTGTAACCCAGTGCAGGGCTCTACAAAGAGAGAGTCAGTAAGACAGCAGTCACTGTAGTCATTGAATTCGCCATCTCCTTCAGCTGAGGGACAACACAGTGCACCACTGACTAACTGGGCAAATCCAGGTACCCCAAGCACATCACCCTTGCACACATCAAAAAGTACAGCTGATGGGCTGAAGTAATGAGAATTCTTAAATGGGGCTTCTATTTTTTACCATCACAAGAAAAGCAGAAGACAATTTTACCAAATGAAATGAGGTTATACTAAAACTGAAAAGTATTTAACATTTGAGTATAAAGATTTGAAAAGACACTGCTCCCCCCAGTCCTTACTTTCACCCACCTAATGAATGTCTTTTTAAGACTTTGCCCTCAACTTCTGAACCTGTGTAAGAGATCAATCAATAAGCCTAAATGTCCTAGTCTAGACATTCTAACTTCATTCCAGAGATTCCATTACTGACCTTCAGCACTTGTTTCATCAATGCTTTTGCCCTGAATCTTAGTGCAAAGCCCATCTATTTACTTTTGTTTCCTAATGTCTGGCTCCATCTTCCCAGGATCAGTAACTCCTTACCTTAGGCATGATGCCATCACATAAAGATCTACTAATTACCAGTCCCCTTGTCTGAGGACTTCGATTTGGGATTCCTCAGCCTCTCTCCTCTAGAAACGCCTCCTTATGCTCTGCCTTGGACCTTAGATGGCCTGTTTCCTAAGTGTCTCCTTGCCATTGGAATGCAGAGCATGGGGATCACTCTACTGGCTTTCAGAAGTATTATCAACCCTTAAGTTGTGGAATGGCGTGATTAAGGAGAGGTTGAATAATGTGTACCCCTGGTAGGGATGGGGAAATGTAACACCGATTGCCTCGATCATGGTATTCACAATTTCCTTCCTGACAAGATTGTAAAATAAAATGAAAAAATAGTGAAATTTCCTTCTGGTTGGGGACAATTTTGGGTATATGAAACAATCTCAAACATCCAACATGGTTCTTACCTAAAACTGCTTGGAGATAGATGGATAGTCAATATGATGCTGTGAGCCCTTTCCTCCTATACCATATTCCTTTTTTTCTGATACCACACAGAAGCTTAAATGCTAAGGACCACAGGTGCCTTAGCTGTTACTTGCTCAAAAGTGCCCTGTTTCCTACAATGTGTTATTCTCACAGCAGTTAGTAAATATGAGAACAAAACAGAACAATCAACTACCTGATCCTCTTCTGAATAGCAAGATCTTTCTTCTCATCATCAGTAGTTTCCGGACAAAACACGTATTTATAGAGGCGAGTCATGCTGTACTTTTCAATCTGATCCATTATCTTTTCAACTCTTTCTGGAGGCACTGAAATACCCAAATGGATACAAAAGCTCAAAAGAAGGATGGCTATTTTAAATGTACTCACAGTACCTGCTATGCAGCAGATAACAAATTTACTAGAAATACATTAAACACATCCAGAAACAGAAGTATAGCAGTTAAACACTAAAAAAATACTTTAAAAAAATTACCTCAATGAAGGCCTCCCTGGTGGTGCAGGAGTTAAAGTTTCAATACTACCAAGCCATCACCAGCCACTGTAGCCTCAGTTCAATCCCCCCAGCCAGGAAGCTAATTTACACTGCTCCCCTCAGCAGTGTTCCAGTAAATCTGCCTGTTCTGCTCCTCACTCTGACTAGTGAATCCCTCCTCACACCTCTGGCCTACAGTCCAGTTCCTGTATGCATAAATAAAAGAAAGTATTTTTTAAAAATTACCTCAACTTTTGGGACTACCTTTCATAGAATCCCCACTTCTACATTAAGCTCTTTTGCCAGGACTATAATAATTGTATACCCTGCAAACTGGGAAGCTCTCAGTATGGATAAGGCCCTACTACTGGATTAGAAAAGCACCAGGAACTCAGGAGATTGGTGAATGCTGGCATGATTAATCCTGTCATTTTCCTGAGATTTACAATAAAAACTTAGAGAGCTCTCTGAGGTATACATACAGGGTAGATTTCTTTTTTCTTTTTTAAAAAAGATTTATTTATCAATGCATACAGAACTGGGTGCAGGCCAGAGGAGCAGGGGTGGTGAGAGGATTCACCAGAGACAGAATGGGGAGCAGGACAGGGAGATCAACGAAGTACACTGCTGAGGAAAGCAGCAGGCAGGTCAGAAGAGGTCTGCCAGGCCATGTGGGTCACCTCTAGGGCTGGGATCAAGCTTGCACTGAAGCGGCTGTGGCCAGCTTGCAGTGATACGCTTTAACCCATTGCGCCACCAGGGAGGGCCCATACAGGGCAGATTTCTCAGATACATCAATGGAAGTCAAATTCATTAAGACCAACTAAAAACTTACACACTAAAGCAGTGATTGTCAATTTTTTTCTTTTCCCAACCCACTCAAATACATAATGATTAGCAATAACTCACCAAAATGGTAATTTTGTTAGTAATTGCAAAATGGGGGTTTCATTGAAACCTCCCAGGGAGTCTCATCCACTCTACCCCTACATGGAATGAATCTATTAAATACTATTCAATAAATTATCCAATTGCTCTGATTATATAATGTGTGTATGACACACACAGTGGTATTCAAAGGTACTGCTAAGTATAAGATTAACTATTAGAATGTCAGTGGCATGAATGATTATAGAGTAGATTCATAGAGCAGGCCACAGGAAGAGAGTCACTTCTAAAAGACGAACAGTCAGGCCCTGTGCAACTACCAGCAATCTCTCAATGATTAGCCTACAACACAATACCTTTTCCACGAGTCTGCATTCTTTCAGCCACATTCTGGTAAAAATCCTGAGTACACTCGGACTGTTCCTCAATGCTTAATTCCTGAATAAAAAGGACAAAGAAGCTGCTTGGTAGCTGAAGAACAATGATGAGTAAAGTTCAAAAAGTTATGAAGTTTCCAAGACTCACTCTTGGAACTGGGTGCTAACTTCAAAAGTACTTACAAACTATACTACTTCTGCAGGTAAGGAAAACGTACCCATTATTTGCAATAGCCTATAACCCCTTATTTCTTCTTGGATATATTGCATATTTTTATAATATGCACATTTATGTAATTTTATATGTCTAACCTATTTAATCATTTTGATAGTTTATAACACCTCATTATACTTACTGATTTATTTACATACTCTACCATAGTACATTTGGGTTCCTTTCCTTTTTTCACTAGTTTGTATTGCAGTTATAAACAACTGTGTGAAAACTATTTTGGGTTTTTTTTTTGTGATATAGTTCCAAAAGTGACATTTGTGATTTAATAAGCACAAACAACTTTAAATATCTATTACTATATACAATCCTCAGATTGCCTTAGTCAACGTCTAATTGCCATTAGCAATGTCTACGTGCTTCTTTCTCTATGTTCCTACAACATTAGGCTTTATACTTATTACTTGGTTTACTGAATTTATAAGCAACATATATTTTTATTCTACACTTTTATGCAAGCGTATTTAAAATCTATATAAAAGGCAAACACAGTTCAGCACAATAAACAAGAAGGTGAGGCAACAGGCCTCTTCTGTCTTGCCCGCTGCTACACTTAGCAGCAGAGAACACCTTCTCTGTTCTCAAACAAACAAATAAAAGATGAAGAGAAATAGAAAGCAGAGCCTGGAATACAAAAATATATTCCTTGAAGATATAGAAATTAGTGAAGAATCAGCCTATACATTGGTCTCTAAACTTTCTAATAATCTTCACTGATACAAAAACAGTTACATTACTCAAGGTCCAAAATATAAAGCAAATAAATTCTGCAGGGGAAATTCTGACACCCAAATCTGACACCACAGGTTTTCACAAAGATGTCCCTGTAGGACAGCACGAACAAGGCCCACACCAAACTCCCTGGGACTGTTTCTCCTACGCTGCCTTTACAAAGGCCAAAGGCTAATGTTCACATACTGTGAGACAGACAGATCCTGCTGCTCTGACTTAGTTTGGAAAGGATGCCTTGGGATCAGCGGTAGTGACAAAATCATGTCTATCTGCCTTTCTATCTCTCAAGTAGATCCTTCCCTAGTTTGGGCCCAGAGTATATTTCACCTCAAGTTTAGCCACTCTCCTCACCTCTAATCCTTCACTTTTCAATCTATCTTGCACACTACAGTCCAACTGATCATCGTAGATTCTGATCTGGTTGCACTCTATATAATGCCAATGGGCATCATCAGTTGTAAACTACAAGACACACTGGGCTCAAACAGTGCATCCTCCTTCCCACTTATCCTGCCAAGTTACCTACTGTCCCAAGAACCTGTTTTTAGTTTTCCTCCTCTAACACGAAAATTACTCTCTGTCCAGGTTACTCTGCTTCAACTCTTTAATATTTGTCCAAGCAAGTCACCATGGCTGAATTCACATCTTATCTCCTCTAAGAGGGTGTCCTTCATTTCCTTAGTCAAAATAACCATGTAACAGGTCTTACAGCACTCTGACCACTTTGACTGCTGGTCTTGTCACTGTCTTAGTTATTTATATAAGAGCCATCTGTTTGAGTTAAAATTGATCTCTCTTGTCCAGTAAGGGATAGGTACTTAAATTTTATACATTTTGTAATGTTCAACTTTTATTTTATAGCTATAATTTCCACTACTGCTTTCTAGTCTGACTTTTTATTTTTCACTGCATAGATTTTTTTAAAAGTTAATACCACTAAACACTTTACCTAAGCATTAACAATTCTGCAACTGTTCAATATTACCTCCTTTCCACAGTTGGAATAAATATTCTAATGTACTTTCTTCTAAGTTTTTTCATCTTTCTGGCTGGAATGTAAGATGCATAGACCTGTGTATGTAAGAAAAAGGCTTATGTTGTGAAAATAGGCACTGGACCCCTTTGCTCTGCACTATCTTTTCAAGATAACCTGAAAACACCCTAAGGAGACAGAGATAGTGCATCCCTCAAGTGAATAGGATAGATTGTTTACCATCCAGGATATCATTCCCCTGTGGGGCAAAAATCATGCTAGTTCACTGCCCTTTTCTCTAATGTAATCTATTTGTGTTGCCCTGTGGGAAAACTAAAGAAACTGGTGCAAATGCTGATATACTTTGCATACTGACCTTTTTGTAAGTAAAAACTGGTCTTTGTTTCTGATACTAGAGATTTATGTCTCCTGCCAGTATCCATGAAACTATGGCAGGCTAAAATGTTAGCTTGTAAACAGGGTAAACTGATTCATTGCGGTTCTTGCCAGAGGAACCAAGTGTTAGGTGTGTGCTGGAAAGTTCTTTTAACTTGCACAAAATTCCAAGAGTTTCCATAGTTTTCCATGAAGAAAAACAGGCTAGCAATAGAAATGAACGCTTTCCTTATGTATTCTCTAACTGTTGTTTGGGATCATCTTTTAAAATAATATTTACGTTGTCATTTTTCTAAAATTTTTTGCTTTGTTGTAGCATAAAAGTCATATCTATGGATATCTCTTCCAGTGAATATTGCTACTGGGAAATACTCGTTATAATTTCTTAATTGGTTGGCTGAAATCTTTTTTTTCTTAACCCCAGTTTTGAAAAATGTATTGAAGACTATTTCCTTAATTATATTTTCTGTTTTTAATTTTAAAATTGGATACTGGGTTACCTTTCTTCCCCCAACCTCTCCTCATTTTTCTTACTATAACTAAAGCCTATTTTGTTCAAAGTTTCAAAGTTTTAGATATATACTTCTGTTCTCCTAATAGTAATTATAATTACATAAGGAAAATTACTTCTAGCATACACACATGATGAAGAGTAGAAAGGTCATTCTAAGGCATAGAGGATGACACCTATCTTTCCATTTGTTCTGGGAAAAGAATGTGACTGAAGATACAACCACATTTTAAACTACACTTTGTTTTTTCTGTTTATTCAAACAAAGTTTTTCAGGGTATATAGGAAAAAAATGTGTTTATACAACATGATCAATATCAAATTTTTATATATTACGAATGGCCAAGAAAAGAACAAAGAAGGTAGCAATAGGTCAAATGCTATACTTGACTGTATCCTTAAGGAACCTAAGAAAAGAACATATATCTGAATGACTGCTAATAAAGAAATTTTACCCTGAAAACTGCATTGAAAATTCAGATTATTTTTTAAAAGTTTATTAAAAAGCTTTAATGTGATGTTTAATAAATTAAAGAGTCTCTATTCTGAGGAAGTAGAAGGTTGTTAACCTTCTTAAAAATAGGGTAGATATTCTTTCAGAGTAGGGGAGAACGTATCCAAGGGATTCGAAAACATTTAGTAAGGGCAGCGTTTAAATAGTTTAGCTGAACAAAAAACTTCTCTTATTACTTAATTTAGCTGCAGTTTGTGTGTTTTGGAAGTGTTTTCGTATAAATAAATTTTCAGGACAAAAATTCCTCACCAAACCACAGATCTCATTTTTCCTAATTACAACGAGCAAAATTAGGCATCTAGCTGAGGTTATAAAATGTTTTAAAATAATGCTGGGACATAAGGTTTTGTTCAGATAACAAAACAAATCAGCCATCCTCCATCTCACTGGTGACCATACACTTCCCTGAATCCATTGCCACTTTCAGACAACCTAAATGAAACTCAGTATTTACAGTGAGATTCCTAAATTTTAGTTATTTTGTAGTGATGAGCTTTAAAAGCCAAAGCATATACATTCTCCTTAGCTTCTTCTGCATAGAAGAGAGGTCAAGGTGGAACAGAAAAGCAATATCAATTAATGATGCCTTGAAAACAGGTATGGTGCTAACTGTACTTACCTCTTAACTTTTATATAATGACTTAAAAGTAAACTAAATTATTACAGAACAAGAACAGGGGCATATTACATTTCTGAGCAAAATGAAAACAACAGTTCTACTGAGCCGTTTTCTAGAAGATAGTATCATAGTACAGATAACCTATAAACATTTCACATGAGCTGATGAACAAATAACATCAATAATATTTTGCTTGCTTTAATTCTAAATGTCACTATTTGCCTACAAATACCTAGAGTATAAAAAAGGGGCTACTTATTCTCAATGTAACTGCACAATTAATCAATTGATTAATTGATTATTGGTCTAGTGATCTCTACCTATATTTGCAATATAGCTAAGCAGTTCATCACTCTGTTTCTCTAATTCTCTTTTCCTTTCTAGAACTTTCTTACTTCATAGAAGGGACTTTTGAGGTAATTTTGAATTATCAATGAGTGTAAAATGTTACAACAGAATTAAGCACTATTTTAAAAATAAGTCCTTTTACAGGGAGTCTTATGAATTATTCCAAATAACATTACAAGTTAGAAATCACAGGTTAAAAACACACATGTGGAAAACAAATTCTATTTCTGGCAGAATCCACCTGTATCTGGCTCTCAATTTCCCCAGCTACACAACGAAGGGGCTGAAGCCAGATAGTTGCTAAGGTCCTTTTCAACATTTAAGCTTTAGCTTTCTGTTCTCTACCTGGGAAAACTAAAGACCAAAACACAAAACAATACATCAAAAACAAGCAAAAAGACAGAAATGCTTGCTACTGGCCTAACAACTATTACTTAGAGTTTAAGGTCTAGTATGGCTCTCTTGGCAGTTTATGCAAAATGACAAGTTAGAAAATTTATTACTAACATACACAATATAATTGGCTTTGATGTCAGACTTTCAATAAAAAGATGACCCACACACTACTGAGCTGCAATGGAAAAGTACTAGTCAGGTTTAACTTGCATCGGTAACTTTTTTAGGTAAGTAACTTAACATCTCAAGGTTTGATTGTCTCAGGTAAAAATATGACAGCGTTGTACCAGATTATTTTTAAAACATTCCCTAAAACCGAATCACTTTATTTCTTTAGTTATTCTCAACCTACCCTTTTGTAATGCATTGCTTCCAAAAACAGCTTGGTCTGCTTATAGATTTCTTGGCCAGTCTTGTGGAAGGTCTTGAGAAATTCTATGAACTCTTTAGACACTCTATCTGTTTCAATGCTGGCTTGTCGGTTTATGGAAGGACTGGGAGCTTTTGCTTCCTGAATTTCTGCTGGGAAAATGATATATAGTAAGTTGCATTATAAAATATATATGCATGAAATTACTTTAAATAGCTAACAAGATTATTTATATCATGCTTTATCAAAGTTAAGTTTGAATTTACTTTATTTTCAAATATTTTAACAACTTTCCCTAAAGTAAATTTATTTCACAAGTATGATGTATACATAGATAAAACATAAAAGATATTCCTATTCAAATAAAAGTTGTTCTATTTTTTAGCCAAAATACACCATGCTTTAAACTGTATTTGTTAATACTGAAATGGTTTCACTATCTTGAACAATTTTCCTCAAAAGCTTATAAAACAAGTAAATGAATAATCAGTAGAAGCATAAAGATGTTAGATGACTTACAAATTTTAGACAACCTCCCCAATTGTCAGTTTACATGTCAAAAAGACAGAGTGATTTATGTGAAGGCTAACTATAATTTACCCACCATTCAGTTTTCAAGTCAGACTGCTCAGAAAATGCATCCAGAGCAGCATGATGACATGAGACAATATACAGCAAAGAAAGCAAGTGAAACACTGTCTAATCAGTTGAACATCAACTCTTTCCCCTCTTCAAATTAACATACTCTGAAAAGAAAATGAGATCTTTGCAGAAAAGACGGGAGAGCACTGTAACACAGAAAGCACTCTCAGAAAGCAAGAACTATCTCTTGATCTTAGATTCTTAATCATATGATTTTGAACTGTGTCCTCTAATTTAATACCTACACTGGTTACAATGCCTCATATGTTTAGCATTCCTTTTTATACACAAAAAGAAAGATAACTGAAGAGAAAAAGTTTTTTTGAAGGTATTAAAATCAACCACCAATGTTTTCTCAGAATAATTTCTTATACTCTAAATTTTGGAATATTAGTAACTAAGACACATTTCAATGATGTAGTTTAAAGTTTTAAAATCATAAAAGTACTACAGTGATAGGTTTATTAGTCTTTGTAAAGGTCTCATTTTCTTTTCAGTATACATTAATTTGAAGAGGGGGAAGAGTTGATATTCAACTGATTAGACTGTATTTCATTTGCTGTCTGTGACTTTTTTTTTTTAAGATTTATTTATTCATACAGAACTGGGGTACAGGCCAGAGGCTCAGGGGTGGCGACAGGCTTCACCAGAGACAGAGTGGGGAGCAGAACAGGCGGATCTACGAAGTACACTGCTGAGGGGAGCAGCGGGTGGGTTAGGAGAGGTCTGCCCCGCCATGTGGATCTCCCTCCCATGTGGATCTCCCTCCGGGGCAGGCAGGGATTGACCTCATGCGGAAGGGGCTTAAGCTTCTTAGTGCAGTGCTTTAACCCGCTGCGCCACCAGGGAGGGCCCCATGTCTTTGACTTTTTACTGTGTGTTTGAGTTAAACACTTGTAGACTATCTATAAGAATACACTATTAACTATGGCAAACTCACTTACTACATAATTAATTATTAACCAGTGGGGCATAGTTGCTGGTCTTACTTTCAAATTAAAGCAAAAAGATCTTTCTCTCTTATTAAACAATTAGCAGAACAAAATTACTTTCCATAGTTACCTTTCCAAAGCAAGTATTTGCCCATCTTTTATACTGTCAACAGGTGCCTAACTATGATTCAAATAATGCCGTCACATTAAAAGAAAAAAGCTTGTCAGGGGTCAGGAAAATCGCACCATCTTCTTTAAGAGGCTTTTTGTGCATTCTTTTTCCCAACAATTCTATTCTCCAAATATAGGTAATTTTGATTTGAAAAACCTGATGGTAAGTATCCCGGTCAGGGGAAGGGTGAAGTAGAGCCCTATGGGGGCAGCACGGGTGCTCAGTTTCCCTCTCCATTTCAAATTTACAGCATATTGTTAGTTTCATATATCATCAAACTCTATTTTGGTCTCAAATATGAGTTGATATTCTCTGAAAGGTTATGGAATTAAAAAGATGAGTCTATGTGTACTGTGGGTCTATGCTGTTATCTTATTTGGGCACAGAAGAAAATCAGAAAATTACCCTTCTTTGATCCAACTCTAGATGAAGCACTGAAGAACTTCTTAACTGTGGTAACCTTGCGAGTCTTTTCATTGGTTTTTTTTTCTTCAAACTTGGAAAATGTGAGGGACTGTGCCCCTTGGCTGCTCTGACTGCTGGCAAAGGCCTCTTCCTCCTCCCGCTGAAGTCTGTAATTCAAGAGAGGATTATGAATGACGCAAATGTGCTCCAAGTTTTTTTTATATCTATATCTAAAAGGTTATTACTCAATGAATTGAGAAGGATCTAAAATTCTTAGAACCAGAGGTTATACACACCAAATTGGCTAAAGTCTCTAATCTGAAAGTCTCCTAACATGCAAACTTTGAAAAGGATGTTTCTCCATGATCATATTTATTCAGAATTTGTACGAGGGCTACAGAAAAAGTCTAGTTCTTTCCCTTATGTCCAAGGCTAGAAGTGAGAAAAAGCTACGTAAGTAACTACGATATAATGTGACAGTTCCTATAGTCAAAAGTACAACCAATGTATTATAATGGTGACATTCAGGTCAGTATTAGAGGGTGAATATGATTTCAACAAGTGAAAGGGCATTCAGAAGAGGAAACCACAAATGTGAAGGCATGTGGTTTTGGTTGACAAATTCAATGTAGCCAGAGTACTGATGGTGTAATGGACTATGATGCTGGATGCACAAGTCAACACCAGATGCTAAGAAGCCTTGGCTGTCAAGCCCACTATAATCCTGGATTTTATCATGTGGTGAAAAATTAATCCAACTCAAAAATATTAAATCCAATAAATTAGCATTATCAGAGCTGTACTTTAGCAAAGCAATGCAGTTAGCTTTGTGACAACTTGAAGCTAGAGACTCTAGAAATGAGAATAATAATTAATATTACAAATATTTAAGTACGGAAGAACAAGTACCTGGAAAATGGGAGATGAAATTCAAAAGACTTCTCTGAGCTGGAATAAATAGAACTTGCTCAATTAGTTGTAGATATCATAGAAAGTAAAGGAGACATTACGAATGACTCCAATGTCTTTCAGCCAATGCCATAAATAGTGAATGTCACTAACTGATACAGCAGGAGGGTTATAAGGAAATGTTGAGCATAGAGATTAGCATAAATAAAGTAATAAAGTTGGCCTTGGGCCAGTTATATTTAAGCTATTTATGATGTCGAATGCTGTGTTCTCAAAGTGAGGTTCCATCGGCAGAGCATCAGCATCACCTGACAACTTAGAAATTCAAATTCTCAGGCCTCACTTCCAACCTGTTAAAATCAGTGACTGAGAGTAAGGCCCTGCAATTATTGTTTTCTCACGATTTCTAGATGATTCTCGTACTTATTCAAACGAGCTCACACTGGAAGCAATGAGAAACAGCAGCAAAATTACAGGTAGAGGTGCTGAAAATAGGATAGGAACACATCTTTCACAGACAAATGAGAAGTTAATTATAAAGATATTACTTTATTTTGATGTGGAATGGGGAGGAAGCCAAGAGAATTCATGCCTAGTGGCTTCAACTTTCTTCATGAAATAGGATCAGCCACTGAAACTATCAGAAGTACAGTGGAAAACCTCAGGAAATAGTTAATATTCTAATTTACATTTTCTCTCTTTGACTAGCCATAGAGTCACTGAAAACAGTGACTATCCTTACAATTTCCCACTGTGTGTTCACCACAGACGTTAAAAAACTAGTCACTCAACAAATATTGGCTGGTTAGATATAAAAAAATCAGCAAAAGCTGTCAAGAGTTCAGTTTGATTTTCTTTTATTGAGAGAGAAGTTATATTTTCAGGTTGTTCCTGGTGGAGCAAGAGGCTAAAGCACAGCACAATAAAGCTATCCACAGCCACTGCAGCTCAAGCTCGATCCCTGGCCAGAGAGGTGACCCACATGACCAGCAGACTTCTGTCCTGCGTGTTTCAGTAGATCTGCCTGTTCTGCTCCCCACTCTGTCTCTGGTGAATCCTCTCACCCTCACCCTCCCTGCCACACACCTCTGGCCTATACCCTAGTTCTTGTATGCATAAACAAATAAATCTTAAAAAAAAAAAAGAAGTTATCATTGCTAGGCTGCTTAGGTAAAAGATTAATATTATTCATGACATTTTGTTAGTTTCTATGCACAGTCACTTTTTCATCTTCTAATTTTTATTTATATTTATTTATTTTTATTTTATAACAGTTTGTTTTACATTTTCACATTTTTTTTTTCCATCTCAGTTGTAATCCCCGGGGGTTTCCCACCACCAAATCACCCGTGTGCCATCACCATAATCCCGTGCACTTCCCTCCCCACCCCCCCATTTTTGATCCCATTCCCCACTCCACCCCCACAAAATGTCTCTGGTATATGGCTGTTCATTATTCTTGTTATTTTCTTGCATGGTCCATTATACTCCTGCTATGAGTAAAACCATTCGGTATTTTTCTTTCTCTTTCTGGCTTATTTCGCTAAGCATGATCTTTTCCAGCTCCATCCAAGTTGCTGCAAAAGACATGTGTTTCTCTTTTTTGGTTGCTGAGTAATACTCCATAGTATATATGTACCATGTATTTTTTATCCAGTCATCTACTTTTGTGCATTTGGGCTGCTTCCATGTTTTTCCAATTGTAAATAAAGCAGCAATAAACATGGGGGGTGTGCAGGTATCTTTTTGAATGAGTGTTTTTGTGTCTTTTGGGTAGATACCTAGGAGTGGGATTGTTGGGGTTGTAGGGAAGCTCCATGTTTAGTAGTTTGAGGAACCTCCAAACAGTTTTCCAATCCATCTTCTAATTTTTATAATCTAGTTCTGGATAATACAAACTACTTTTGAATAACAAACTCTAGTTCTCTTAAATTTACTTAAGGATACATCAAAAGACAGAGAAAAATGTATTTTGATAATAACTGAACTATATATCAAAGTGCTATCGTTCTTAAACCATTTGCATCTAAAAAAGTTCTTTCACCTCTCTGCCAGTTCCCAGTCTTCCTGAATCTGCTTTTGCCTGGCTTTGTGGTACTCCTCCCTCCAGCATTTGGAACAGAAACCTTGCCAAGCAGGGTTGCCATAGTAACCACATCCTTTCTTGCATAGGAGCTCCGATTGATCCACATGAATTCCTCGACGTTCAGACTTAAGGCTCATCTTCTTCCTGCTAATCAAGTAACAAATAAGGAAATGTTGAAACTTCATAATCATTCTATAATACTAACAGTAGAGAAATTAAGAACCAAAAAATGAGGGTATGATTTTCAAGCTCTAAGGAAGCAAAGGAGGGAAGAATGAGTAAAGAATGAAAAAGAAAGTTTAAATAAAGCAAATTCTTGACATAGTCATACTACAGAAGAGATTGCTAATCTCCAGTCCAAAGAGCATATTAAGAAAGAACTAGTATTGGGGCCTGCCTGGTGGCTCAAGGGGTTAAAGCGCAGCACTATGAAGTTTTCTGCAGCCACTGCTGCATGACTTCAATCCCTGACCAGGGAGGTGACCTCTCCTGCCTCACCCACTGCTCCCCTCAGCAGTGTTTCACTTGATCTGCCTGTTCTGCTCCCTACTCTGTCTCTGGTGAATCCTCTCACCCCCCCCCCCCGCCGCCGCCACGCCTCTTGTCTGTACCCCAGTTCTTCTATGCATAAATAAATATTTTTTAAAAACCTAATAGTATATTAAAACCTAAATGTATGACATGAAACTATAGAAATTCTAGAAGAAAATGTAGGGGGAAAATTTCGTGACACTGGATTTGCTAACAATTTCTTGGATCCGATAAAAGCATAAGCAACAAAAGCATAAATACACAAATGGGACTACTTAAAAGCTTCAACACTTTTACACAGAGAAGGAAACAATCAACAGAGTAAGACACCCTATGGGATAGGAAAAAATATTTGCAAGCCACATTTCTGATAAAGGGTTAATACTCAGAATACATAAATAATTCCTATTATTCAAAAATAAACAATCTGATTAGAAATCAGCAAAGGAGTTGGATAATTCTCCAAAGATGATATACAAATAACCAATTAACATGTGAAAAGATGCTCAACATCACTAGTCATCAAGGATGCCATTTCAGATGCACACTATCAAAACAGAAAATATAAGTATCATTGGGGATATGGAAAAATTAGAAGCCCTGTGCACAGGTGAAAATGTAAAATGGTCAGCAACTGTGGAAAACTGTTTGGAGGCTCCTCAAAAAACTACAACTAGAATGACCATATGATTCAGCAATTCTACCTCTGGGTATATGTCCAAAAGAATTGAAAACAGGATCTTGAAGAGATAATTGCATACTCATGTTCACTGCAGTTTTTTTTTTTAAAGATTTATTTATTTATTCATACAGAACTATTCATACTATCTAAAGTAGTCAAGCTCTCAGAACCAGAAAGTAGAATGACAGTTGCCAGAGGCTGGCAGGAGAGGACAAAGATGGTTAGTTTTGCCAAACATGTTCAAGAGACCTGCTGCTTAACAAGGTGCTGTCATGTACACTCAAAAATATACTCTACACCTTAAAAATGATTAAGATGGTAAATTCTATTTTATGTGCTTTTTATCACAGTAAAAATATTTTAATATTAAAGAAGATCTACTAGAGCCTTCCTAATTGCTACCAAAGTCAGTCTACATTTTTAACTTGAAAGATAAAAGAACAATCCTCTTGAAATATTCTGTGTTCTTAGACTGTCATTTGACTCAAAAAGACTACTTAATTTCAATGATATGAAAGTGAATACTTTTTTATAATAAAAAAATTTAACATGTACCAAGTGAGTGATGTGATCAACATCTCTAGATGTTGATTCCCAACTTGAGATGGTATTCAAGGTCCTTCACAATCAAGGTCAAATTAACATGAGACTACAATTTGACACCATCACTACATGATCAATATTATTCAGGTACTAAGTTATTTTATACAACCAACGTAGATATTATCCATCAACCAATGGATATAATCTCCATTTTAATAGTGGTGAAAACTGAGGTTCAGAAATTTTCAATATATTAACTACTGAAAATAGAAGCAACAACAAATAAAATAAAAACAAGCAACAAAGATTTAAAAACAGGTAAAGACATCAGGATCATGTACCACATTGTTCCCCATCCATTTGTCTAATCTCACATCCCTGAACACAGAAACTTTCAACTGGATTACCATTTCCCAAATAAGCCATGTAAGGATATGCCTTGGCTTAGAATTTTTTTCCTATACATTCCTTTTGCTTTTTCAAAGATGATTCATTATTAGAGGCTCATGTTAAGGCTACCTCTTCAATGAAGATTTCAACGAGTTAGCTCCCTCCCAGCATTAACTTTGGGCCTGCCTTCTGGTAACACAGATTTAGGAAACCAGTTATACATTCTAGTTTGTTAAAAAGAATCACCTTTCTATTTGTCTTCTTCACTTAATAGACTAGCAGCATCCTAAGGAGTTGGTTTATACTCCCAAGAGAACACTGTATGGACACTGAGGTAGGTATTCAATATGTGCTTGGGTTTGTATGTGGAGACTGGGCTGTTTTATGCTCAGCCTTCATTTGGACAGTGAGTAATCTTCCCTGTAAGATTTGTTACAAATTTGAGGACTTACACAAGGTATAAAGTCAGAAAGTTGTTTGAAAAACCAATAAAAATGTGCTGAGTTGATTATGAAACCAGAGAACTTTTAGTTATGGCTTTACTTTTTAGAAGATCAGCAAAATAAACTGGATTTTCTGCAAAGCTATTTCCCAATAAGATTCCTTACTTAGCAGGTTAAGCATATGAAGGTAGTCTTTGGCACTCAACTGTATTTTGCCAGTCTTGTTAGACTGAATCATTTACCAATCCCTACTGTCTGCTTGCTGATACCATATTTTAACTGCTTAAAGAATGAGGAAAAGCCATTTAAGAGCTTCTAAAGCGAGGGAGGGAAGGATATTCTTTCCCTTGGATACAGGAATAGATGACATGAATTTTGGACAAATAAAGAATCAAGTATTTGTAAATATAAAATCATGAAATACTATGTAATGAGTTCCAATGTCTGTCCTCTACTAATACTAATAAGCATATGTTCTTTGTTCATAGCATCAAATCATATTAAGAAGTGCTATCTAACAACTTCCAATTAAATTCATGGAATGGAATGGCCCTACTTCTTCACATAAACTAACTGCCTTATAAATAAGCACAGAAAAGTAGCACTCCACAGTGTAGATTCAAGAAAATGTCCAGAGAAAATTAGTCCCAAACCTTGGTGACTCTATCATTAACTTAACTCTTAACATTCCCAAAGGGTTGACGATAAGCAAAGAATTGAGCTAGATGCCACTGGTAAGTGACAGAACATGTCCTTTGTCCTCAGGAAGCTCATAACCAGAATCACAGACAAAGTGAAAAGTGCATAAAAGACAACTTGCAATGGAAAAGGAGAAGAACTCAGGTAATTCTGATTTAGGGGTCTAGAAAGTGAACTTGGACCAAAGGGTGGAGGTATTGACCTAAGACAGCCTTTAGCTGAATCTTAGGTAGTCCTGGAGAGATGACACAAAAGAGGGAGGGCATTGCAATTAAAAAGAACACTTTTCACAAAAAAAAAGAAAGATAGAAAAGCAAAAGTAGAACATGATGTGGTATAAATGGGAGGTAAGCTGGATAAGTCAGATGTGAATTCAAATTGTAGTGGTTTTTTTAAAACTCCAGGTTAGTACAGGTTTGTATGGCTCCTAGAAGATAGCATGAGCTATGAGCTCCATGCTGGTGTCTGGGGGAGGGAGGTGTAGGAAGGTGGTAGGATGCAGAGAGAGAGCCCCAGGGCCTTGGGGAGCCGGATTTTGAGTTTCAGGTGTCAAACCAGAACTTGCCTCCACACCCTCTTTCCATCCCAGTCAGCAGTCAGTGTTGGCTCTGTGCTACACCGCAGCTGGGCTGACCAAGAATGTGAGCAAGCCAAGGCTCAGCCTCCAAAGCAGATGCCACACCACAGCACACCAAATTCATGCTGGGCATAATCAGGAGGTATGTGGCTTTGCATCCTATGACTGGCACACCCTGGAACTGCTCCCCTGCTTCGAACAGGGGCCCTCAAGTTCGAAAAGGTGGGGATACACATCTGAACCAAGAGAAAGAGAGGAGGTCTGAGTTGTCATCAGGCAGGCAACTGCCAACAAAGACTCCCAACCTCTGTGCATAAATAAACTCTTTTCAGAAAAAATAAAAATTAAAAACTCCAGGCTAGAAAGTCTGGACTGAGGTATTGTTGAAAGCCCCAGAAAAGGGGAAATGATGATAAGATTTCTATTTTAAGACATTCAACTGAAAAGGTAGAAGTCCTGTCTTCAAGTTTGAGGAAGTGAAGAAGACAATGAATTTCTGCCCCCAAAATCAACTATAAGCACATACCAAAAAAGCAACTATAAAGATGGACAAAAAACTCTTCTCTGTTGATGACTCTCCATGTGAGCCAAGGAATACAAGGGTGTCTATAAAGGTACAGCATAAAAGAGTTTTCTGGGGTGATGAAACTGTCCTGTATTCTGATGGTGGAAGTGCTTACACAAACCTATACATGTGTTAAAATCCATAGAACTGTACACTCCACCAAAATTCAATTTTGCTGTATTATGAAAAAACAAACAAACTTGAGAGGCAATTTCTGGGTTGGATTGGGAAAACATGCAAAACAGGAGACAGGGATAATCATTAAAATACAACTACAATAACCTCATAACTCACAAAAAGATATCCCTCTTTTTCTCAAATGAAGGGATCTGAATAAACGCTTCCCCAAGGAAGATATACACATGGTCAATATGCACCTGAAAAGATGTCAACATCACTAGGGAAATGCAAATCAAAACCACAATGAGATATAGGACAGTCAAGAAAGTCAGATAATAACAAGTATAGGCAAGGCTGTGGAGAAACTGGATCTTCAAATACAGCAGGAGGGAACGCAAAATGGTGCAGCCACTTTGGGAAAACAGTCTGAAAGTTCCAAATAATTAATCATAGAATTACCATATGATCCAGAAATTCTACTCCATGAAAAATGAAAACATGTCTGTAATCTGTACAGAAACTTGTACATGAATATATACAGCAGCATTAACCACAGTGGTAAAGTGTGGAAATAACCCAAATGTTCTACCAACA